ATGGGGCCTGTACTCTGGGTCTGGGCACTGTCCCTCAGCTCTTCAGCTCAAGGCTAGCACTCTACCACTTGAGCCACAGCGCCACTTCCAGCTTTTTTCTTTTTGCTGAAGAATTGAACCCAGGGCCTCAGGCATGCAAGGCAAGCGCTCTACCACTGAGCCACCATCCCAGCCCCCAGCCATACATTTTTGCTGGATATTTTTTGTGATGGGTCTTAAAACTGTTTTTAACTAGGCTGGCTTAAAACCATGATCCTCCAGCTCTTAGCTTCCCAAGCTAGGATTACAGGTGTTACTACCAGGGCCTGGCTTAGGTCTGACTTTTTTCTTTCTTTCTCTTTTATAGATTACTTTTTAAAAAGAAAGATCTCTTGAAATTGCCTTTCTGGTCCTATATGATCTATGGAATCCCAGTAAGAGCATAGCACTTACTATACTGGATTAAAAACTGATGGTTAATATTGCCTTTAAATAAATTATTAAGTCCCTGATTGTAACAAATAAAATTATCCAGGGCTGGGAAGGTTGGTCAGTGGTAAAGTGCTTGCCTTGCATGCATGAGGCCCTGGGTTCATTTCCTCAGCACCACATAAACAGAAAAAGTCAGAAGTGGTGTTGTGGCTCAAGTGGTAGGCCCTCACCTTGAGCTGAAGAGCTGAGGGACAGCGTCCAAGCCCAGAGTTCAGGCCCCACAACCAACAAAAATAAATAAATAAATAAATAAATTGCTGGGCGCTGGTTGCTCACACCTGTAATCCTAGCTACGCAGGAGGCTAAGATCTGAGGATCATGGTTCAAAACCAGCCCAGGCAGGAAAATTCCATGAGGCTCTTATCTCCAATAAACCACCAGAAAACCAGAAGTGCTGCTGTGGCTCAAGTGGTAGAGCACTCACCTTGAGCTGAAGAGCTGAGGGACAGAGCCCAGGCCAGAGTTCAAGCCCTATAACCAACAGAAAAAAAGAAAAGAAATAAAATAAAATAAAATTATCCTGTTCTCCAGAAATATATGTATTAACTAAAAAGTTGCTGGGCTCATAAGCAAATAAATAAACATTATACTCAATATTCACAACTAACTTTGGTATTTACTACATGTTATTCATTATGACAATTTGCAGGTAAAAACTGAAGAAGATGATTTGGAAACAGATTTCTACAAGGATTTAATTAATTTTGGAAAGAATGAAAATCAAAACAAAATTTTGTCAGCTTCACAGAAAGGTTCTTCTGGGGTGCCATTTTTGTTTTCCAAAAAGAAAAGTAAGAGCATCAACCAAAACTGGGCCTTCAAACAAGCTATTCAAGCTTCCCACAAAAAGGTAATAAAAATGGTCCACAAGCTATTTATTCTTTTTTTTTTATTGTAAAGATACTGCACAGAGGGATTACAGTTACATGAGTAAGGTAATGAGTACATGTCCTGTTGAGCATTGTTACCCCTTCCTTTGTTTTTTCCTCTACCATCCCTTCCCTCCCAACCTCCACAACTCCTCCCTCCTCTACCCCACCCCACCCCCAAGTTGTAAAGTTCATTTTCAACATAGTGTCTTGTACATCTCATTGTTACAATGGGTCAATCTGTATCCTTTTCAGCATTTTGTTGTTTCCCTTCCCTTCCCCAAATTAGAAAAGTGTATATACAAGATGCAGGGCACCAGAATCAAATACAGTGAAAACAAGGGTTACACCATATGGAAGAACAAAAAATACATAATACATTAAAAACAACAGCAACAAAGATAAAATCTCTTGTGTCCCTATCTTGGAGTTCATTTCATTTAGCATCATCTTATATGGTCATATGAACATAGCTTTTTGACCTTTTCTTCTTGTCCTAGACATATACTATTTATTGCAAATAAGGGAAACCATGGGACCTATGTTTCTTTGGGCCTGGCTTACTTCACTTAAATATAATTTTTTCCAAGTCTTTCCATTTCTTAAATATTGGGGCGGTGTCATTCTTTCTGATAGAGACATAGAATTCCATTTGTGTGTGTGTGTGTGTGTGTGTGTGTGTGTGTGTGTGTGAGTGTGCCACATTTTCTTAATCCATTCATCTGCTGAGAGGCATCTGGATTGGTTCCATATCTTAGCTATGGTGAATAATGCTGCAATAAACATAGTTGTGCTGGTAGCTTAGCCTTGAATGTGATTTTTTCGGTAAATGGCCGAAAATGGGATTGCTGGGTCATAGGGGAGCTCTATGTGGAGTCTTTTGAGGAACCTCCATACTGCTTTCCAAAGTGGTTGAACAAGTTTACATTCCCACCAACAATGCAGTAAGGTTTCCTTCTGGCCACATCCCCTCCAGCATCTATTATTATCAGATTTCTTGATTATAGCCATTCCAACTGGGGTGAGTTGGAATCTCAATGTTGTTTTGATTTGCATTTCTTTTATGGCTAGAGAAATTAAGCATTTCTTCATGTGTCTATTGGCCATTCTAATTTCCTCTTCAGAGAAGTCTCTCTTTAAGTCTTTAGCCCACATATTTATTGGGCAGTTGTTTCTTTGAAGATTTGTTGTGGGAGAATTAGTTTTTTGAGTTCTAAGTATATTTTAGATATGAGATCCTTGTCTGTTGTATGGCTAGTGAGGATCTTCTCCCAATCCGTGGGCTTTCTATTGATCTTGCTAGCTATGTCCTTTGCCATACAGAAGCTCTACAGTTTCATGCAATCCCATTTGTCCAACCTTTCTTTGATTTGTTGTGTTTCTTGGTCTCTATTCAGAAAATTTCGGCCTGAGCCAAGGAGACCCAGGGTTTCTCCTATTCCATCCTGTAATGTTTTCAGAGTGTCTGCTTTGACTTCGAGGTCTTTGCTCCATTTGGAGTTGATTCTGATGCACGGTGATATATAAAGATCTAGCTTTAATTTTCTACAGGTATTAAACCAATTTTGCCAGCACCATTTACTGAAGAGGCTGTCTTTCTTCCATGCTATATTTTCAGCTCCCTTGTCGAAGATTAGGTGACTATAGGTCTGTGGGCTCATTTCTGGGTTTTCAGTTCTATTCCATTGGTCCTAAGGTCTGTTCTTGTGCCAGTACTAAGCTGTTTTAATTACTATGGCTTTGTAGTCGAGTTTGAAGTTTTGGTATTGATATTCCTCCAGCACTGTTCTTCCTGCAAAGGATTGATTTTGCTATTAGGAGACTTTTTTTTCTGGTCCTGGGGCATGAACTCTGGGCCTGGGAGCTGTCCCTGAGTTGCTTTTGCTCAAGACTAGTGCTCTACCACTTGAGGCACAGTGCCACTTCCAGCTTTTTCTGTTTTATGTGACGCTGAGGAATTGAACCCAGGGCCTCATCCATGCGAGGCAAGCACTCTACCACTGAGCCACCTTCCCAAGCTTTATTCAGAGTCTTTTATTGTTCCATATGAATTTTTGGATTGCTTCTTCTATTTCCTTGAAGAATGAGGTTGGAATGTTGAGAGGTATCGCCTTGAATTTGTAGATAGCCTTGGGAAGTATTGCCATTTTCATGATATTAATCCCCCCAATCCAGGGGCATGAGGGGGGGGGTTTCTACTTCCTTAGTTCTGCTTTAATTTCCTTTTTCAGGTTTTAGAAGTTTTCCTCATAGAGGTCCTTCAGTTCTTTACTTAACTCCTAGGTATTTTATTTTTTGTGAGACTATTACAAAAGGAGTTGCCTTCCTGATTTCAGCTGCACTCTTCTCATTATTGGCATACAGGAAAGCCATTGATTTTTTTAGGCTTGTGCTCTGGATCTGAGCTTCTTTGTGTGTGTGTGTGTGTGTGTGTGTGTGTGTGTGTGTGTGTGTGTGTGTCTTTTTTTGTGTGTGAAAATACTGTACAGAGGAATTACAATTACATGGGCAAGATAATGAGTACATTTCTTATCAAGCATTGTAGCCTCCTCCTTTGTTTCTCCTTCCCATCCCTTCCCATCCTCCCCCTCCCCACCCAATCCTACCCCCCCCACGAAAGTTGTAAAGTTTGTTTTCGACATAATGACTTGTACATCTCATTGTTGCAATGGGTCCACCTGTATCCCTATTTAAACGATTTGATTTTCCCCTTCCCCTCCACAAATTATACCAACATCAAATACAGTGAAAGCAGGGGTTATACTGTGGGGGAAGGACATACAAAGCAACAAATATTCTTATAAATGTGTTAGAAACAATCACATGAAAGAAAAAACATTTGAATACATATCTTAAGGTTCATTTCCCTAACATCTCCTTATCTGACCATTTCTGCTTGACTCAGACATATACTAGATATTGCAAATAAGGGAAACCATGGGACCTATGTTTCTTTGGGTCTGGCTTATTTCACTTAATATAATTTTTTCCAAGTCTTTCCATTTCCTAACAAATGGAGCAATGTCATTCTTTCTGATGGAGGCATAGAATTCCATTGTGTATATATACCACATTTTCTTGATCCATTCATCTACTGAGGGGCATCTGGGTTGGTTCCATATCTTAGCTATGGTAAATAATGCTGCAATAAACATAGTTGTGCTGGTAGCTTTAGTGTGGTCTTGTTTGTAAACATTTGGGTAAATGCCCAAAGGTGGGATTGCTGGGTCATAGGGGAGCTCTATGTGGAGTCATTTGAGGAACCTCCCTGAGCTTCTTTTGCTCAAGGCTAGCACTCTACCACTGAGCCTTAGCTACACTTCTGGCTTTTATAGTAGTTTAGTGGAGATAGGAATCTCACAGACTTTCCTGCCTGGGATGTTTTCAATCTGCAATCCTCAGATCTCAGCCTCTTGAGGGCCAAGTAGTAAAATGAAGCTTATTTTGTCTTTCAAAATGTCACCTGTGACATTTCCATAATAGATGTTAATCCAAAACATCACAAAGACATTGTCCTTGTGATATTTCCATATATTCATAAAATGTTTTATGAAGTACATGTAACAGAACTTTTATTGTTGATGCTGGCTGTGAGGCTTGAACCTAGGACTTAGGCACCGTCTGCACCCTACCACTTGAGTTACAGGACCACTTTTAGTTAATTGGAGATAAGAATTTCCCAGAGACTCTTCTGCCCAGGCTAGTTTCAAGCCACGATCCTCCAATATCAGCCTTCTGAGTAGCTAATATTACAAGCATGAGCCACCAGTACCTGGTTAGTAATAGAACCCTTTTGTATAATACGACAGTCTCAGACTTTTGCTCAAGAAATTTGGCCAGCTTATATTTAATATAATCACTTAAAACACTTGACCATATTCTTTCAGTCTTTCATTTCTCTTCAATGTGATTGAACATACTATATGCATTCTTACTCACTTCTGTCTCTAGTTTTCTTCTTTTGGAAGTACTAGTGTACTTGCTTTTCTCTAACTGAAAACATAATTGAAGCAGTATTTGTTTAGCCCACAAAATAACATCTCTAGCATCCCAAATATGTTTCAGTTACCAACTCCACACATCCATCGCTGTTCTTCCTTGAGAAGCCATTTCCTTCCTAATGATGGGATGCCAGCAACCAGCTTTCATGAAACACCAACAAGCCCTCGGAGGAATTGTTTGCACTTTTACATTGCATGTGTTAGTTCGTATTTTATTCTAACTTTTATATTCTCAATATAGATTTCTTGTGACCATTTTTGACCTTACAAAATTATCATACAGTTAAACCCAGTGTCATGACTGTCCTTGATTAGATATGAGTAGAGTAAGGAAATTGTATTCAGGACAGAAAATATTCCAGCAATCTCTCTTCAGTCTTTGAGACAATGAAAACAATGTACCATACGCTTGAAAATTAATCTGAGCCCTTCTGTTGAGCTTAATGTTTTATTCATTTCTTCAACCCCAGATCTTACTAGATATTTATCTGGCAGATAGTTTGTTCAAAGAAAAGACGTCACCCCTGCATGAAACAGTACTTTTCTGACTGACTTTCAAAATTAAAACCACAAAAATTATATAAAATACAGCAAGATTACAAATGGATGAAATTGATTATAAATTGTACAGGAACCTGAAGCAAGTCTAAAACAGCAGTTCTAGCAGTACTAAATATCATTCCTGTGCCGAGCTGAGCTACCAAAGTTTAACTTGTGTTTCCTACAGTTTCATATTTACAGAAAACTGAGATTACTGAACATCTCAGAACAGGAATTTCAGATACTCAGGGAGAACATGTGCTTCTCAATAAAAGTAGAAAGACCCTCCAACTTTGAAAGCTGTGTTTCTATGACAAAATTCAAATGTTAAAGTTAAAAATCGAGCCAATTGGGCACTTACTACACTGTCAATTTCACAAAGACACAGTGTTTTTTTATTTGTTTCTATAGCTAGAGCATCTGAGATAGCTGAGCAATAAATGAACAGATAGCAAGAAAGAAGGGTAGGAGAGGAAAACAATGTGAATCATAACCCCTGTTAGTACTGATGTGTTTTTTTCATTGTTATTTGTGTATTCATTATCATTTTTACATTGGTAGTCGTTAGGTGTCATTACATATCAGAAAATGGTTGTTGTGTGGTATTAATTACAATAAAATTCTTTTTGCTCACATAGTCTCATTCCTCTCACTTTGTTACTCTTATTCAAACATTACAATGAGTAAAGGAAAGAGAAATCAGAAAAAAATGAAAAATACAAAGTATAGAGGTGTCCTTAATAATCCTAAGAGCTATGCTGAAGAATCTAAAGAAGTGAGATGTTTTTAAGCACTGCATCACCCTGGGAATCCTAAGTTAACTGCATACAACAAGGGATTTGTTGAAACAAATGAATTTGCAAAGAAACAAAAACAATCTCAAATTTCTGCGCATGCATGGAAAAGAAAGATTATAAATGGTTTTGTTTAGTTTCAAGCCTGAATAACTTGGAACGGTAGCTTGTGGGCACACCTTGAAGGAATGAAAAATGTCTTCCAGTGCATATGGCTCACATATCATAGCACCACTAAAACCTAAGAGAACTTAAATGCCTTTTTTAGTTAGTGACAAAGCTACAACTTGAATCTCAGTTGCCAAATTTCCAGTTGAGTATTTACCCAACCCTTCCTCTCAATTATTTGCATTATCAAGGTATTCTGCACAAAAGCTTGGTGGGATGAAGCCACAATTGGAAATTAAGAGAGAAAGATTGACTTTTCTGATGATTGAACTCTTCTTTGGTAGAGGACATAATGAGCCACACAGTTTACATTATTGATCCTATAATCTCATTGTTCAACATTTTTAACAGCTTAGGGAAAAAAGGTCCGTGGATACAAAAAGGAAAATTATGATTTTTCTATGTGAGGACATGCGATAAAGATTAAAATTTATTTTTATCCTATGGTATGTATGAAATGAATGATAAATAGGTGGCATTTAAAGATTTCATTACCTTTATTTCTCTCTTTCTCTCCCCCCCTCTCTCTGCCTCCTTCATTTAGGATTCAAGCTTTATTAGAGTCCATAAAGTGATAAAAGTCTTAAACTTCACAATGCAAGCTACCAATCTGCAGCTTTCTAATGTCTTTTTGAAAGCACTTAACCAGCTGCCTTTAGAGTACAACTCTGCAATGTATAGTAGAATCTTTGATGACTTTGGAACTCACTACTTCACCTCTGGTTCCCTGGGAGGTGTGTACGACCTTCTCTACCAGTTTAGCAGTGAGGAGCTAAAGAACTCAGGTATGTTTTCTTCCACTGTCATTTTTTTTTCAAATGGAATTATACTATACAAGTCTTTATTTCTCCTATTCCATTGTTTTCGTTAGTTTATTTACATCTATTTTCTTGCCAAAATAAGATGGAGAGCAATCAAACTCTCAAATAAATGAAGTAACGGTAAAACTTTAGAGTGAACAAGAAACATTACAGATAACTTCTGTGGTTATGCATAGTATTTGGCTCTAAATTTCCTAACATCCAAACTATCCAGGAAGGTCACCTAAAAAAAGAAAGTACTCACTAATACCTGAAGGAAAATAAAGGTCCTCTTGGAACTAAATTCTAAAATACAGGCACTGGTGGCTCACACCTGTAATCCTAGCTACTCAGAAGGCTGAGATCTGAGGTCCAGTTCAAAGCCATCCAGGCAGGAAAGTCCGTGAGACTCTTATCTCCAATTAATTAGATCAGTTGCAGTCATTTTCTTTTATGATTTTTGAGTGAAAGCCAAAGACATAAGATGGAAGTACAGGTAGAGACTTAACAAGAGCCTATATCCATGGGGGCTAAGTATGTACTACTGGTGAAACTCAAAAAAAAACCAACTGCAAAGCACTGCTATGTGGGAAAAGAGTCTACTGTTGCATTTTTGAGGAATAGAACAGATGTTTTTTCTGCTTGTACATAGCAAGATAATCTAGATATCTTGTCTTCTTGCTTTTTGAAATTGCCAATATTATCATAATTTAGATATCTTTCTCTAAGTCTGCTATTTTTTCCTTTTTTCTGGTCCTGGGGCTTGAACTCAGGCCCTGGGCTCTGTCCCTGAGCCTCTCTGTGCTCAAGGCTAGCACTCTACTACTTGAGCCACTTCCAGTTTTTTCTGTTCCTGTGGTACTGAGGAATCAAACCCAGGGCTTGATGCATGCTAGGCAAGTACTCTTCCACTAAGTTATAAATCTATTTTAAGACTCCTGTGTATAATGACTTAGGGCCTTTTGATTATCTGACATTTATTCCTTGAGAAAAAAATTAGGAAATTATATAGTAACTGGGACCACACTGACATGTATCTAAAGAATGAAACTAAATGAATTACTCTGTTCACCATTAAACCATTTTACAAAGGAAACTAGACATCTAAGGTACAATTACAGGCCATCCCTGGGGTCAAGAGAGTTTCAATCTCTCTGTTCTTATATTTCTTGTGGCAAATGATAATGTTTTAATGGGACTATTCTGAACACTTCTGAATTTTAAGGAATCCTTGTAAAATATACTTTCAAAAATATAGCAAGCAAAAAGATTTATTTTTTACCTAGTCTGTTTTCTAAAATCTAAAAGATTTATGCTGTGACAGGTTGTCCACACTATCTCATGTTTCATTTTATTTTTCCTTCTCATTGGAGCAATGCATAATGATGAATTGATGTCTTCTGCCAGTGCAAATAGCATCAACACTAATGCTGAGCAGAAATGGTTGTGGGAGACCCCTGGCCATTGATTGAGTTTCATCCCATCCTTCAGATGAAATTATTCTGCTTACTTCTGCTACAGCCCAGACAATAGTTTCCTATCTAGTGAGCATACTCATCATGCATTCAGAACGAATCCTCTAAATGATTAGAGATCAGATTGAAAAGGCGTGCTTCTTAAACCAACCAATATTTCAATAGTTGAAGCTGCACTACCCAAATGAAGAGTGGCAGACTATACCTGCCCACTATCCCACTAACACATTCTCACCTTCTCTCTTTACATTCTTTTTGTTAGAAAATCATCTTCTGTGCTGAACTTGAGGTGAAAAATTATTCAGCCAGCTACTCATCTCTTCCTAGATAGGAAACTGAAAATAAATAGCATATATATATAACTGAAAATAAATAGCATATATATAGCTATATATATATATAGCATATATATATATATATATATATATAGGGTCAAGAGAGTTTCAGTCTCATGTATATCTGTGTGCACATTCACTAGATATACATGAAATTGGAAATAAACGCCCATATATATCCATATATATATATATATATATATATACTTTAATATGCTCACAGATTTTACATAGCATCTACATGTACAAAGATATGTATTTGCTATATTCAATGACTTTGTTATTAATATTCATATATTCAGAATATCAAAATGGCCAGTAAATATATGCCTAAATATATGTATGTATAAATACATATATATATACATATATCATTGAATCACAATAATAATATGGCTGTATACTTTCTTTTTTGTCATCATGGGGCCTGAACTCTGGGCCTGGGCGCTGTCCCTCAGCTCTTCAGCTCAAGGCTAGCACTCTACCACTTGAGCTACAGCACCACTTCCAGCTTTTTCTGCTTATGTGGTGCTGAGGAATCGAACCCAGGGCCTTAGGCATGCAAGGCAAGCACTCTACCACTGAGCCACCTTCCCAGCCCCCTCAACACCGCTTGTACCCCCTCCCAGCACAAATGGTAGCCTTTTTCTTCACAGCCTAATAGGATTGGTATTAAAATTAAACGATGTGGTTTCTTTGTGTGTGGGGGGGGGGTCATGGGGCTTATGGGGCTTGAACTCTGGGCCCTCAGCTCTTCAGCTCAAGGCAAGTGCCGTACCACTTGAGCCACAGCACCACTTCCGGTTTTCTGGTGATTTATTGGAGAGAAGAATCTCATGGGCTTTCCTGCCTAGGCTGGCTTTGAACCAGGATCCTCAGATCTCAGCCTCTTGAGTAGCTAGGATTACAGGTGTGAGCCAGGAGTGCCTGGCTAAATAATGTGGTTTCTACAGTGAGACTGGAATGGTGACCAGCCACTGGTGGTTCCCTTTGCTGTCCTTCTCCTGTCCCAATCTTGTTCATTAGCATTGCCCTCAGCTAAGTCCATCAAGTCACTGATTTTATCTTCTTTCTAGCTTCCTTATCTAGTAAGTGATAACAAACCTCTTCACCTCCTGAATACCTCTCCAAGTAGTTTCCTTTTCCTGGCCACAGGCACAACCTCCTCTCATTATTTCCAGCCTCAACTATCTGAGAAGCTTCCTCGCTGGCTTTCTTGCTTATAGTTTCACCTTCTTCCAACTTAATCTGCATTTCTATCTCTGTGACACAAATTGTCTATGTGACATATCCTATACATAAAACTCTTGTCCTTTAATCATGCCACAGTTCCTGGAAGTTTGAAAGGATAAGCATTTGTCTCTTTTCTCTTCCTAGCTACCCCTTTTCCAGTCTCCTAAACTAAAGTCTTCTCTCTCACTACTGTGAATACCTACTTTCTGTAAAATTCTCTTATTCCCTTATTTTGTCTGACTGCTGCTAACTCAGACCCCACCATGGGAAGTAGGAATGCAGAAACTTTCCGATTTTTAAGATTACATTCTCCTGAAGAAGGAAGGTGAGGAGCAAATAATAATGTACTTTTTACTTTAATAATAAACAATGTATCAGAGCATATACACAGGTATATACAGGTATCTGTGTCAAATATAAGAAAAAGAGTTGATGGAGAACTACATTCTTATAGCAAAAGAAGAAAAAGAAGGCAAAAAGGAGCACATGAGCATACAAAACAAATAATTTAGTAAAATAAATCATAGAATAGGACAGATTCTACATTGATTTGTTACTCAGTAGACTATTTTAGAGCATGAACTCAATAAATCAACAGTTCAGAGATAAAAAGATTAAATGTAATCAATAAAGGAAAAGAGATTTTTGAGGGTAAAGATAAAACAAACATTAATAAGCATCAGCATTATAATTAAAACAAATCAGACATTGTAAGACAAAATACAATCTTCTGAAAATTAATAAAGTTAATCACACATTAGAAAGAACTGAACAAATTATATTAAGCACAGAGAAAAATTCATATATTAAAAACATCTAATGAAAATAGAGTGACACATACAATTTAATGCATAGGAATTTTAGCATCCAATAAATGAGAGAAAACTATATTTTCAAAAATTCAATATGACAACACATCCCTAAAATAAATTCAGAAAATTTTCTTAATTTTATATTCTTTATAAGTATACAACTTTATTGTAAATTCTGGCAAGTTTGCCAAATCCAAAGATTTTAAAGTGAATTCCCTAAGTATCTTGGTAGAAAACAACAAGCCAAGTACAAATTCTGGAAGGTCTCAGACATTTCCATAACAATCTTTACTGTAATGAAATGGGTTATATAGAAACTGTGTACTGTCCTCACAAGTTATAAGTAAACTATCCTATGAGTTAAAACAAAAAGAAAGGAAACAGAGCAATGTCTCTGAAGGAGGTAAAAAGTTCCTTAAGGAGACAACAAATGTCTAGGATGAGAATGAGGAAAGGAGTGACATTGACCAAGATACATATCCATAAACTGACTTGTTAAGTGGCAGCTCCTTTATAGCACTACTTAAAGATAATAAAAAGAAAAGAAAAAATTAAAACTCAACAAAAAAGTCTTCATATGGAAATGTAACGGAAGACTTTGTTATGAAAGATTTCTGAGAATGCACATTCTTGAGCATTTACTGGGGGGAAAAAGAAAGTGATAATTGAAAATCATTTGCATATTGATAGCTAAGATTTTATTTTTCCTAACTGAAACTCAACAAATCTCTCAAATCCCCATTTCTTTGTGACTAAACTATACATTGCCAATGTAAAGTAACCAAGTTCTCATGAGTTTCAATTTCCAGTATCCTTTCCGGCCTCCTGGATGATCTAAATGAGCGTGTGCACTTGTATGTGAGTCTGTGCATGTGTGAACATGTGTACAATGTTGGAGGGAGGTTCAAAGGCACTCGTGCAGAATGTTTCCCTTTGCCTTTGCTGCTCTCAGCAATGTCATTTCCCTACTTTGCTTCTTGTTCCTAAGCACCAGCAACTACTATTCATGCTAATGGACCTGCCTTGGCTTAGATTACTAGATCTTGAGTCTTCTTCATGCCAACCCACATCAGGTCCTTTCATGTCAGTGACCTTCCCTGAAAGCTCCCTTGCCCTCTTCAAGGTTAGGAAATTCCTGAGGCTTTTCTGTACACATCACAGCAAAGAATGGAGGCCACTAGAATCACCCAAGGGATCACTTGCTTGGCCGCCATGTTTGATATGACAAGTCTTAGCATTCACATTCTACTACTAGGAGAGCTGTGTATATACATGTATGTGTGCTTCTATCAGTTTTCACTTTCTCTACCATCACTCCTAACATTCTTGATATATATATATATATATATATACACATATATATGTATGTATATATATGCAACTTTTTTATTGTACAGATGGGTTATAGTTACATGAGTAAGGTAATGAGTATATTTCCTATTGAGCATTGTTACCTCCTCCTTTGTTTTTCCCCTAACATCCCTTCTCTCCCCACCTCCCCAACTCCTCTTGCAATCCTCCCCTCCCGGCCAAAGTTGCAAAGTTCATTTTCAACGTAGTGTCTCGTACATCTCATTGTTACAATGGGTCAACCTGTATCCTTCTTTCAGCATTTTGTTATTTACCTTCCCCTCCCCAAATCAGAAAAATGTATATACAGGATGCAGGGCACCAGAATCAAATACAATGAAAACAGGGGTTATACCGTAGGGGAAGAACATACCAAAGAAATAAAAAAAATCACATAGTACAAAAATTGTTTTTTTGGTGGGTCATGGGGTTTGAACTCTGGGCCTCAGCTCTTCAGCTCAAGGTGAGCACTCTATCACTTGAGCCACAGTACCACTTCCACTCCTAAGATTCTTCTCAAATGATAGAGACCTACGTCTGACTCAAGATTTCACTATGTCTAAGCCTTCATACTACTTCCCAATAGTCTCCATTCTCTCCACTGCTCAGAAGTCTTTTCTCCTTTTCCAAAGAAAAGTATTTCACATGACATTATACATTTTTATTATTCTGTGGTTGATATTATATATTCTATGTTCTGAGTCCAAGAAAGTTCAACTATTGAAATTTAAATTTAAGAATTCTTTTAAGTTTTAAAACCCCAAGAATTCCTTTGCTCTCTCTAAAGAGCCTTGCCCTTGACACTGAAAACTATGGCTTTCAATCTGTGATTTCTGGCTGGATTTACAAAATTGTACTCAAGAGTACAGAAGGCAATATGTGACTCCTTTCTCTCAGTGTTCTCTAACTCATGACTGTGCAGATGAAAAGCCCATTATGAAACTTGAATTATAAGAGGAATGGTATGGGTTAAGAATCTTTGGGGGGGGGAAGAGGGCAGGTCAGTCATGGAGCTTGAACTCTGGACCTGGGTGCTGTCCCTCAGCTCTTCAGCTCAAGGCGAGCACCCTACCACTTGAGCCACAGTGCCACTACTGGTTTCTGGTAGTTAATTGGAGATAAGAGTCTCATGAACTTTCCTACCCAGGCTGGCTTTGAACCTCAATTCTCAGATCTCAGCCTCCTGAGTAACTAGGATTACAGATGTGAGCTGTGGTGCTCAGTGAGGTTAAGAATCTTAAAAAAAAAAAAACACCTAGAAACGTTAATATTCTGATACTAATCCAATAAGTATAGAAATCAGTAATAAAGACACAGTGAGAAGAGATGAGAATGAAATCATTTAATATTAAAAAAAACTAATACTGAATAAAGGGAACTGGATTGTGTCTTCCTGAATTGTTTAAATATGTAATATACTAGACATGCTGTACTGCAAAGCAACCAAAGTTTTTAGTAGAAAATCCAGAAGCTTTACCCTGTCACCACTTCCATCATTATCTACAATTAAGGATCAATGACCTCATCTGCTGTCACTGCAGTCTGTGTTTACAATATGACGCTGCTTACCGCACCAGCTCCACCTCTTCCACTAAGATATACATAAGCAAATACAAGATGTTTACATAGTCATTATGTTTTATGCATTTAGTATAATTCCAAGCACATTATTAATGTTTAATTGATGTTCCCCAATAAACACATTGAATGGTTGAAAGGTAAAATGAATAATTTAAGTTTTATTAAGTCTTGAATACATTCTAGACACTATGTGCCACATGTGTGTGAAGTTTTCATCCTCACAGTGACCTCCTGAATCTGGTACAATTACAATCCTTGTTTATGCACAAGAAGACAAAGATTGGCAATGTCAGTGAACAAATGAGTATTAGAAATTGGCTTAGGCATAAATTTGTGAAGTAAAGCTGTGAAGACTTGTTTGATCTATATTAAACAGAACTTGTATGCCTTGCTAAAATATTTGGTCTTAATCCTATTGAAGGATTCTCACTACCCCATTTCCAATCTGCATGGTTTAAATAAGTGCTAAGTGTGAGTGAATTACATCTTTAGATTCAAGAACTCTGTGTAAAAGTGAAAGGGAACTTTGATGCTTTCTAACAACAAACTGGTATGATATGCAATTTCCCCACATAAATTACTTACCAATACACTGCTAAAGGAACAATATTTTGAAATCTGTAGATTTGGTCTTGACAGAACACTCTGCTAGAGACTTTGGAAAACAGTATAAATAAATAAATAAAAAGCTAAGTAGAGGAATAAAATGTCCTTAACGGATAGTATTATGCTTATGATGTATGAAACAGGTCGAGTATATATTAAGCTTACAAAGCTGACTGCCTGGCTTAAAATGTGTTGATGACTTATGTGACCAACATCAAGAGCTTAATCTTTCTTTGCTTTGGGCTCTTAAATGAAAACAATACTATTTATTTCACCCATCTAGTATGGAAAATAACCTATGTCAATGTATTACATAAGTAGTATAGTATAAACAAAGTCTGTCCTATATTAAACACAAGTTCATATCAGAAATTATGATATACAATTAAAATATATAACATAGGAAAAGGATAGTTGAAATTTAAAAATAATATTGAATCAACACTTGACCAAAAAATGTTTTGAGATATACAATGAACCAATAAAAAGGTGATCATCATAAAGGGGCACTGAGTAAATAACATTTAAGCTAGAGTTCTCATCTCAAAAACACGGAACATTTTTAGTAGATGTATGCTGGCAGGATGTGGAGACAAACTGATTGTAAGACACCAACTTGGAGGAAAATGGAAACTGACATGTCTACTAAAATAGAATATTTATAATAAACATAGACATATATGAACATCTTATCTATATATAAATATGTAGGTATATATGTATTTTTATAGCTTGATAATTGTACTCTGTGAATACCCAATAGATATATACACAAATTTGTGGAGAAAATAATGTAAAAAAATACTTAGGAACAGACACAGAGCTTACACCTGTAATCCCAGATACTCAGAAGGCAGAAATAAGGAAGATCAAGGTTTGTGGTCAACCTGGACAAAAACAAAGACCCCATCTTAATCAATAAACTGTGTGTTATGGTACATGCCTGTGATTCCAGCTTCTCAGGAGGTATAAATAGAAGGTTAGCCTGAGGAAAAATGCAAGACCCTATTCGGTAAGTAACTAAAGCAAAAGGTGCTGAGGATCTGGATAGTAGAGTGCTTGCTTAACAATTGAGAGGCCTTGAATTCATGCCAAAGACCAGAAAAAGAAATGTAAAAGTATGTTAGGTATACCAGGCATGATGAAGCATGTCTACAATACCAGGACTTAAGAGAAACAGGCAGCACGTTTGTGGCCAGTCTAGCTCTATCTCAGGACTCAGTTTCAAATGAAATTAGAGCTCATGCTCACTATTTTTATCAGGATCCCAACCATGCCTATCATACCCAACCCTACTGATATCAATCTGTGTATGAACCATATGGTATCTGATAAATATAAACTACCTGACAGTGCCGAGAGTCAATCAGTTTATGACACACTGGCAGATTCTAACTTCTCTAATGTCTAAAGCTTTCTTCTTGTTTCCCTCTCTTTTCTTTTGCTTTCTTCCTGGACAGTATTTTACCCCCTTTTCTAATTATTCAGCACTATCTTTTGAATGTCTGAATAATAGAATCATGTCTAACTCTTCCTGTCATTCCAAAATAAGCATTAAAATAATGCTATTAACAAATATCATCCTGACACTTTTTCCCTTTAATTTCTCACTACAATTTCCTATTATTCAGTTACTACTCATAGTAATTAAAGTTGCCAATAGTTAATAGGAGTTTTTATTTTGAAATTTGTATAAAAATTTTGTAAGCTACCTCATCATCAAATATCACTGTCTCAAAAGAAACACTTTGCCAACTCTTAACTGGAAGTTTAAGTTTTTAATCCTCATATGTAATGCATTCTCTCTTCTCTTCTTATCTGCAACCAAAAGTTCCTAGTCTGGTGGCTGATTAATTCAATATCAGAAACTATATAGCTTGTATCACCCCACGAGCCCAAGATTTTGGCTTATGTAAGTGAAAAGCTGGGAGACTGGCAAATAGCAAAAGTCAAAGTAGTATTTGCCTCTGTATAACCATATGTTCTAGGACAAATTGCTTTCAGTCTCAGTATCTACATTTAAAATTCACACCTATGTCTCAAGGTTGTTGTAAGAATTATGTAAGATTTTTTTAAAAAGAATTATGTAAGATAATGGGTGTGATGTAGCCAGCAGATGCCACAGGCTTAGAAAATGGCCGTGCTGGCACCATTACCAGCATTTCTATTACTAAACTACAGACAGGAATGAGGAGTTTTTTCATAGCTTGCTGGTGGGGGAGCTACATTGTTAAATCATCTACCTCTCTTTCTCCCTCTCCTCTGCAAGTAGGCTTTCCTTTAAAGTATGAATTTTCAGTTGAATTAAGTAGGTAATTTTCTTGAAACATTTTTCAGGTTCAATTTTGCAGGCAGCAGAGAAAGCCATATCACTGGTTCAAGGAGGTAGGAGCGAGTATGCAGCTGCTTTAGCATGGGAGAAAGGGAACTCTGGTCCCGAGGAGAAAGTCTTTTCTGAGTGGTTGGAATCAGTGAAGGAAAATCCCGCTGTGGTTGACTTTGAGGTAAGATTACAAAATACCAAGGGCAAAAGAGTTGAAGCATTCCTTCTCTAGCAGCCCAAATTGCATTTCATATGATTCCTTTTCCATTTTCTTCTCAACTGATAAAAGAAATGCCTTTCTTTAGTATGCATGCCCAGCATACCTTTTTAAAAAGATCTTAAATTGAATATCTATTGCATTTGCTATCCAAACAAGCATTCTAATGCAATATGTAGAATTCCTAGCATGCATGAATACCTGGAGAGGGAATTTAATGAGTAAAATGGTTCAAGCTTGCTGGGAGTCCTACGCCTTACTCCATAGATACATTTACTTTCTGTGTTTTCCTTATAATTCTTTAGATGATGAATATTCCCATGTCTTCATTTATTATTCTGTTGCGTATGCAGGATTTAGATCCATTTGCTTTCCTGTTCCATCACCATTGACTCAATTGGCCAGTTTTGAATTTAGTGTGATTACATTCAAAATACTTTTTATTAACAAATACTTTGCCCACATATGAGTTACATACAGTTTAGAGTTGTGTTTACATGTAATAACATAATGACATTTTAAAGTGCTCTAAGGAAACTATTGTGTTTCAATTAAATGAAGATAAAGGTGTTCAATCAGAATCATATACATGCAACATGAAAAGATAATGAGTTCTATGGGTCATGGTAGGAAAATGAGACCTGGATGCCAATCTAGGCATTTTTCAATCATATGCTACAGAAGCTGGTCATTTCTTTGAGGTTTATAAAGCTAATAAAATTTAAAACTCTTTTATTAGTTATAACTCCATTATTTGTTATGATAATTCAATTCATCCAACTGGCAGACCCACATCTCCATTTTTTCCCACCCCACATTTTCTTAACTGGCTCTACCAAAAGCCAATATTATCCTGGGAAGGTTGGAGAGAGAATAATGATGGCCTGTCTTCATCCTCTAAATTTTCTTGCCTAACTAAACTTAATATGGTTTTAGCAAGACATTAATGAGCTTTAATAACTCTTAGCCAACTATCTCAGTATTTTCATATATATGCAAGTAATGTTTGACAAATAACATGATCAAGTCCAAGAAAACAATACCAGACATAATTCTTTCAAAGCAGAACCAAAGAGAAAGCAAGTTCCATGCACATTGCATGCCTGTGGGTACAAAATTTTTCTCCACTGGTTCAACAGGCTGCTAAAGAAGATTCTACAATCATCCGTTGGAAGCATGGGACTTTCCAAGGCATCTTTTTCATTCTATGATCTAGGCAGTGGGCACAATATTGCCAAAGGGGATGTGACTGAGTTTCCTCTCTGTCATCTGCCCTTAGCTTGCCCCCATCATGGACCTGGTAAGAAACATCCCCTGTGCAGTGACCAAGCGGAATAACCTGAGGAAAGCTTTCCAAGAATACGCAGCCAAGTTTGACCCTTGCCAGTGTGCTCCATGCCCTAACAATGGCCGTCCCATGCTTTCTGGGACTGAGTGTGTGTGTGTGTGCCAGAGTGGTACCTACGGTGAGAACTGCGAGGAGCGCTCTCCAGACTTCAAGTCCAGTGAGTATCCACGGTGGGTTGTGAGGCATACACCTTTTCCTGCCTGGGTTTGTCCATTTAAATAAAACAAAGCTTAAGGCAACCTATTTCTTGTGCAAACTCACAAAAAAAAAATAAATAAAGCTTGAAAGCTGTATGCTCTAGGGCCAGGAATAGGACTCAATATTGGTAGAGTGTTTGCCCAGCAAACACCAGGCTCTGCACCCAAAAAATAAATAAATAAATGGTAGACTCTTAAGTCCAACAACTTTGGTGTTAGTCTCCCTTGCAACTTACAAGTTACAGAACTTTGGCAAAAATATCTAACTTTTCCATGGTATAGTCTGTTCATCCATAAAGTGGGCATGATACTCGTATTGACCCAAGGATTTTAAATGTGTATAGTTGTTCATATGTTTTTATGGCAGGCAAATAAAGAATATACAGCACAATGCCTGTAACCTTAAATAAAATATATTATCAAATCAATATATGATGTGTTGTTATGAGATGTATATGCATTATAATGTGGGAGAATGGCTTGGTAGGGAAAATCAACTCACTCCTAAAGTTATCATATGAAGCCAAGTGATGTTTATAATTGCCTCCAATTCTCCTTAGAAGAAGATGGAATATGGGAGAGAGGTCTGTGTTCTACTGTTTTTCAAAATGTAATTAATATATAGTCTATATAAAAGATAGGTGCATATATACCTATATACACCTATCTATACCTATATACTCACATATACAAATATATATAGAGAGAAATATATAGAAATAAAGAGATCAGAATAGACACACACATATTATATATATATATATATATATATATATAGTGATGGTGAAAATTGGTACATGTGGCTATTTTATTCAGCCCAGGGAAACAGAAAAAGGAAATCAGATATGTATCAGACTTCCTCCACAAATAAATTCTTTGACTCTTCATATAACCATCTAGTATTTCACAAAGCAGGTCACACAGCAGAAATACAAGGAAGCCATATTGCCCGGGCCCAAGCCCCAGTTTCCTCAGGTGTATCATGACTGTGGGTGGCTCTGTTCCAGGTGCAGTAGATGGGAACTGGGGCTGCTGGTCTTCCTGGAGTGCATGCAATGCTGCTTATAAAAGATCAAGAACCAGAGAGTGCAATAACCCTGCCCCCCAACAAGGAGGGAGACGCTGTGAGGGGGAGGAGAGACAAGAGGAGCACTGCACGTTTTCAATCATGGAAAATATGTAAGGCTGGGTGTGAGGGGAAAATGGGACATTACTCCCACTAGCTTAGAGAGTTTATATATTTATCACCTTACTGCTTCATAAAACAAATAATCCCATTGCTAAAGAAACAATCATAAATTTGCATATGCCAACACAGCATATTAGTGAAGCATTGCATTTGTTTCTACCCTTATTTAAGTGATGCCTCACTTATGTATATACATACAAATGTACATATATATGAATGTAAATGTGTATGCATATATTTATCTTTCCTTTTTAGTGGGCAGCCATGCATCAGTGATGAAGAAGAAATGAAAGAGGTAGATCTTCCTGAAATAGAAACAGATTCAGGATGTCCTCAGCCAATGCTTCCAGAAAATGCATTTATCTGGGTAAGCATCCCAACCTTCACGTATGATTTGAATTTCAAAAAGAAAAAAAAAAGCTTGGATTTGGATTAGTGAAAAAGAATGTGGAACGTGTGGTATTTCTTTTCATTAGCTATATTATTTTTCAATTTGGATAACTTTTTATTGGCTTAAAAAATACAAAGTAGGGCTGGGAAGGTGGCTCAGTGGTAGAGTGCTTGCCTTGCATGCCTAAGGCCCTCAGCACCACATAAGCAAAAAGAAAAAAGCCGGAAGTGGCGCTGTGGCTCAAGTGGTAGAGTGCTAGCCTTGAGCTGAAGAACTGAGGGACAGGGCCCAGGCCCAGAGTTCAGGCCTCACGACCGGACCCAAGAAAAAAAAATACAAAGTAATATCTGCAAATACTTAACCAGGTTTTTGTTTTGAATTCTCTGGACATGTCTTCATGCTTGGTTGTTAAACCAAAGGTAGCTTGTGGTCTGGCTACCAAACAAGCTTACAGAAATGCTATATTTGTATGACTAGAGAACATCATTTCAGAATAATAAAGAATGGGTCAACTTATAAGAATCTGTATCTAAGGTATGTCTGTTTATTTCTGAGTCTCTGTAAACTAATGCCCTTCTCTGAGGCATATTCTCAAAGACAGAAACCAGACATGGACATGATCATAGGAGGTATTCAGTCGGTATTAGGTTAGAAATCTGTAAAACACTGAAGCCACCAACATATTTGTGCTAGCCTTTCAATTTCTTCTTTTTTCACTAAACTACAATATATTTCCATGAGTTTTTTTTTTAATCAAAATTGAGTATTTACTGTCAAACTGCCCTGTGGCTTTAAAGATGAGTCTCTAGAGAGGTGCATAATGTTACAAACTGGTCACAGAGGCATGCTCCTTGCCCATTCTTACCCATTTTGTATTTCTTAAGCTTGCTAAGATCTTAAAATTAATCAAACTAATATTTATGTTGAACGATCAATAACACTCCATTCTCTAAAACTAGCATATAGCAGTTCATGAGCCTTAGTCGAAGCCAATGTGCTTTTCCTACTCATCTATCATCTGCCCACATTAAAAGTACCATAAATAAAGGCTTTCAGGGAGGAAATATTTTAGAAGGAGGTAATTTCATTTAATCTTTATTACAGAGGAGGGATTCTCAAAGGCTTATGAAAACACAGAGTATGGTTTCTACTCCTAGTTTCTGAACGCCCCTGAACACCCACACCTGACAAGTTTCTAAATAGTACTGATGACACCAGCTCCATCATCACCCAATGAGGAGTAAATTTTTTTCTACAACAGGGAGAAGGAGTCATAAACAATGCCCTGAAGGCCAAATCCAGTTTTCTATACCTTAAAAAAAAAGTAAGGATTTATTGAAACATATTCGTATTCATTTGTTTACAGATTGTCTTTAGGGACTATTTTTCACACAATAATCACAGAAGAGAATAATTGTAACAGACACTTTATGACCCTGTAGCTTACTATTCAGGGTTTTTTTTTTTTTTAGAAAAGATTTGCTGATTTCTACCTTAAAAAATTAGTATAAGTAATTTTTCTAATTTGGGGAGGGGAAGAGAAATAACAAAATGCCAAAATAAAGAAACAGGTTGACCCATTGTAACAATGAGATGTACAAGACACTATGTTGAAAACAAACTTTACAACTGGGGGTAGGGAGGAGTTGGTGAGGTGGGGAGGGAAGGGATGGTAGGGGAAAAACAAAGGAGGAGGTAACAAGGCTCATTAGGAAATGTACTCATTACCTAACTCATGTAACTGTAACCCCTCTGTACACAATTTTTACAATAAAAAAACATTAAAAATAGTATAAAAAGAAAGAGGAAAAATGTAGGACATAACTTGAATAATGGCATTAATCTATTCATGAAGACAGAACCTCTCGGCATAATTGCCTTTTAGTACAATCACAATGCCAATTCAATTTCAACACCAATTTTTTTTTTTTTTTTTTTTGCCAGTCATGGGGCCTGAGGGCACTGTCCCTCAGGTCTTCAGCTCAAGGCTAGCGCTCTACCACTGGAGCCACAGCGCCACTTGTGGCTTTTTCTGTTTATGTGGTGCTGAGGAATCGAACCCAGGGCCTCATGCTTGCAAGGCATGCACTCTACTGCTGAGCTACGTTTCTCTTCAAATCGTATAAATCTTTCGCCTTTCAATACCAATTTTTGAGAAGACACTTAAACCATCACAATATGTCTTTATCTCCATATGTAAATTCACTCCTTGTTTTATTTTTTAATTAAAAGCCAGATTTCTATCTGCCAAAAGGTTTTACTTATCTTAAATTTTCCTAATGTGGACCTTCTAGAATTTTCAGTATTAAAATTTGTTCTTGGTGGATTCAAACCGAAGCAGATATACCTAACTCTCAGCTGAGCATTCATATTACTACACATAAAGTTACCTGCCAATGATAAGGACACAATTCCTGTCCCATAGGCAAGTGGCAATGACTTTAGATAGGGATCCCTTGTTATTTAGTCTAGCAGATTGGTTGGTTTCAACTTGCTGATTGCAACAACAACTTGTAGCTTCATAAGAGAGATAAAATAAAAATTCAAGACATTAGGTATATATTAAAAACTATATACATCCAAGTAATACTTCTCATCAATCAATTTCCTTTTATTATATTACTAGTCTCCCTTAAAAAGGATAGCGTGTGGCATAGTTTCAAAGAGCTATTCAGGCCCTTGTAAACATTTGTGAAAGAGTGATCTAGTAGTGGCATTGCACTTCAATGTCAGGGACCAGGCTAAGGAATGTGATAAACACTGGACAAAGGGAAAGTTGTACAAGTTACCCCTAGAGCTGAAAGAACTACTAGTCCTGAAGCTGGAGAAGCCATTTGGTTTTCACAGAAGTGTTATGTTTGAGCTGGGTCTTAAGAGAAAGGTAAAGAGAAGGTGTGGAGGATAGATGACACCATCAAGTGAAGAAATCAAGACATGAAAAATATTAGGTTCAGGGCTGGGAAGGTGGCTTAGTGGTAGAGCACTTGCCTTGCATGCCTGAGGCCCTGGGTTCGATTCCTCAGCACCACATAAGCAAAAAGAAAAAAGCCGGAAGTGGTGTTGTGGTTCAAGTGGTAGAGTGCTAGCCTTGAGCTGAAGAGCTGAGGGACAGCGCCCAGGCCCAGAGTTCAGGCCCCAGGACCGCAGGAAAAAAAGAAAAGAAAAGAAAAAGACAAAAGAAAAATATTAGGTTCAGAGAATGCTATATAGCTTGTTTCACTAGAACAAAGGTTTCAAAAGATAAAAGGAAGGTAAAAGAAGATAAAGCTAACATTTCAAACTAAGAGATGGAAAATTTAATCTTGAAAAATTTTACTAATCCCCCTATAAATGTTATTGTACCCCATTATCCACTAACTAGGGAAATGCATAATAATCAAGTTTATTAGAAACATTTTTGAGCAACATTTTAAAATGATTTATAGTTGAATAATCACAATAGCAGTGGAATGTATTTACCGTATAGGTAGGATGTTATTCAGTTTATAGTCATACAACAGAAATGGCATGGTTTGTCTACTCTAGCACTAGTAAGGCATCCCACATATAACAAAGAACAAGTTTTTAAGTAAAAAGAATACAAGCAAGCTTGGTGCCCATGGCTCATGTCTGTAATCCTAGCTTCTCAGGAGGCTGGGATCTGAGAATCACAGTTTGAAGCCGGACCAGGCAGGAAAGTCTGTGAGATTCTTATTGCTAATAAAACCACCAAAAAGTCAGAAGTGGCTCAGGTATAGAACAATAACCTTGGGTGGGGGCTGCAGGGGGTGGTGCACAGAGGGAGAGACAGGGACAGCATCCAGGCCCTGAGTTCAAACCCCAGAACTAGTACACACACACACACACACACACACACACACAAATTCAATCTATTCCGAGCATAAATATGGAAAGCTGATTCAAAGAATAGCTAATTAAAAGGTAAGAAATACAAAGGCTGGTGCAGAAGAAAGGAGAGAACAACTTTGGGAGGTCCTTGGGAGCAGAATTTGAGAAAACTGTAGCTGAATAGGTATAGGGGTGATAGAATACACAATCTGGGGTGATCTTGAGATGCTTAGAAGTGATTATTCATCACAGTAATTTTCTGGGGTCTGTCTTAATTCTAGAATGAAAAGAAACTATACTCCATTGGAGAAGAAATAGAAATTGCATGCCTTACTGGATTCAAAGCTGCTGGGTACCAGTACTTCACATGCTTACCAGACAGGACCTGGAGGAGAGGAGATGTAGAGTGCCAACGTGAGCATGTGTCCACTATAAACAGAAAAAATAATCACACTCTCAGATCAATACAGCTTACTATTTCTTCTTAGTAACTACAGTAAAAGGATTTCACAAATCAGTTAATGAAGCTGATTTTCTAAAATTAGATTCCAAAAATCCTCTACATTACAGGCCTCCTGCCCCAGCACATTTTCCTCTTCCACACAAGTACCGTGAAGCATGCTCTTACAAAGAAATCCAGGAAGCCGGTACCTAGCCACAGACATTGTCTGACATACAAATTGGTGCAATTTGATAAGTTCCAAGATGATACTGACTCTTTTTGTAGACCAGAAGTAAGATTTTCTGTGAGATGCAGTTTTCCTCAGGGAACTTGTTTTTCAAAGCATGTTGACATCTTTTGCTGAAAAGCAGTGATGAGCTTTAAGACTCTGCACATACTCATACTGCAGGAGAGAGAGACAGAGACAGAGACAGAGAGACAGAGATTGATTCAAACAAGGCTCAAATAGAAACCCCTATTCAGGGGTGTCTGGGAGCCCCGTTGAGGCAAATATCTATTAGAATGTCCTGTTTCTTAGCCACTCACAATGTGGTAATTTGCTTTTGGGAAAATACAAATCCCAAAAATGTACCAGAAGTTTCCAAAGCAGGTTCTTTAGCAAGGGAACCTCAGATACCAAAACTAAAAGGAGTTTTTCAGTGGAGTCTCAGGTTTTCTAATCAAAAGAAGTACCAAAGCTAAACATAGTCCCCCCAAATCTCATTAACATACCTCTTGGATCACATAAAATCTGTCTCTGTTTGTTGTGTGCTCTGCTTCCCTGAACACTGGCTTGCTGCTTCTCTCCTCCCCCTTTCCAGGCACAGAGTGCCTCAAACCAATTTTTCAAGATGTCCTGACCATCACACCGTTTCAGAGAATATACAGACTGGGTGAATCCATTGAGCTAAGCTGCCCCAAAGGCTTCACTGTGGCTGGGCCATCAAGGTACACGTGCCAGGGGGATTCCTGGACACCACCCATTCCAAACTCACTGACCTGTGAAGAAGGTGAGTGGCACTGAGGATTGAGGATTCTAGCGTAGTTCAGGATCTCCCAAAGAAGCAGCACAGCTTGTATGCATCACCATGTCTCCAAACTCTTTTGGAGACAGAAGGCAGAAGAAGCTTCTAGAAAGTTAAATATGATTCACCAGGGGTAGATGATGAGACTGGGTGCCTTCAAATTCTAGAGGGGAGGTTCAACTTTCTTTTTCAGTATAAAACCTTACTATCTAGGAGTGAAAGATTTCTCATCTCAAGAGATCAGAATTGATGGTTAACTGAAATATGGTCTGTATGCCCACCCATACGAAGCAGCAAACACATCATTAGGTGTCTTGTTATTACCTAAAATAGGAATTTTATGATGTTCTTTGGGTGAAGCTGAATCCATTCATTGTCTCTATTTCCCAGTTTCAGATTGTCTGAATCATAGTTTTAACACAGAGTGATGTACCTCCTTTAAAAATCTGCACATGGCCCGCCCCTCAGACACTGAAATCACTATTAGGGGAAAGGGTTGGGGTTTTGTGTTAGTTCAAAAACTATCTTAGCATGTTGAATGTTTTTCACAGCAAAGAAATAATAAATGTTTGAGGAGATAGATTTGAGCCTTGAATAATGCATACATGGATTAAATACTATACTATCTGACACTCATAAATGTGTAAAACATTTGTATATCAATTTAATTTTTAATTAAAATAAACAAAAACTCTCTTAGCTACCCCAAATATTCCCATAAAGATGAATTGTAAATACGAAGAGAAAAAAATTTTAAAAAAATAGCTTTGAACAAATTGACTGGGAAACACTTGTATTTTTATTTATTTTCCTTAATATTTTTGTAGCCTCATCCTTATCTAACTTTTTTTTTTACAAACCACTGACACTTAATTTATTAAAATCTTACCTTAATTTTAATACAAATACTTCTATATTTCATCCTTTATTTTATTATTTTAGATACTGACTTGATTTATTCTGGAAAATAGATGGAAATGGAGCTGATCATATTAGGTGAAATAAACCAGACCCACATGGAAACTTAAGAACAAACCTTTTACTTTGTGCCTTGCACAAAACAAAAAAAATCTTTTAAGGAAAGAAAGACTGCAATGTTCGATAGGAAATGTACTTATTACCTTACTCATGTAACTGTAACCCCTCTGTACAGTATCTTTACAATTAAAAAATATATATTAAGAAAAGAAAAACTGGTAAGCTGTCATAACAGACTTGGAGATCAAAAAAAAAAAACTCTGACTCTAGCATAAACAGTTCTGGTGAGAGCAAAAAGTGTGCAATTATAGAGAATGGTCCATGAGCTGTGAAGCTCATGGAGAAACAATCATCTGGCAGGGGCTCGAGGAGCACGAGCTGATGAGGCCAGTGAGTTCACTGTAGTGGAGACAGCAAGTAATAATTCATTTCTTCCAATTTCTCAATATGTTTTTTCAAATAATATCTCACGTTTGTGTGAGTCTTTTATTTTCCTCAAAGTGGAGCCACTTCTGGCTTTTTTTTTGTATTTTTTTTAGTAGTTTATTGGAGATAAGAGTCTCACTGACTTTTCTATCCAGGTTGGCTTTGAACAGCCATCTTTGGGTCTCAGCCTCCTGGGTACTAGAATTACAGTCATAGGTCACCAGTTCTTGGATCATGTCTCACTTTTAATCAGAGAATCTTTTAGGAAGTATCTATTAGCAGATATGATTAAGCCTATTTTGCTTGTGAAAAAGCCAAGCAAGTGCAGAGGCTGAATCAGACCCAAAGCAGGCCAAACCAAAACTGTGCAACAGTTCTGCTCATTTTTTTGAGTTCTTGGCTTTGTTGCTTCTTACTTGTCTTGTGGACTTTCATAATGTAGAAAGGAAAGGGAGAACATTAACCTCTTGAATTACTTTTGGTGGAACTATTTTAAAAGAGGTATCATGGGGACTGATGGAAACTTTAGTTTAATATTTTATCTTGGATTCATCAGGCTTCAGACTATAATAATAAGTGATAAGTACTATGAAAGTTTGGAAGTTGCAGCATTTAGAAAATTAGTTTTCTCTGGATACTATAGGTACAGTCTTCTGCATAAGGGCATATATATTCACACACAGAGATCCATGGATAAGAAATTGAAGTTATAACACAAACTGAAAGCTATAAAATACTCTGTATCTAGATAACGGAAATAAAGATCTCATTGACTTTATCTCTAATAATATTAACAGACCATAAGAAGAATCAAAGAAAGAAAAGACAACAACCTATAAAACTGGACACAAGGAGGTAATCAGACCTTAAGGCTCACGTGACCAGGAAATATTCTTATTTTTGGATAAATATGTGCATGTATTTATCTAAAAATTATATATATACATATAAGTATCCTCAAGTAGTTGTACAAAGAGGTTTCAATTCAACATGTCAGTTTGTGAGTACAATGTTCATTGATTAATGTCACCCTGTTCATCATTCTCCCCCATCTCTCCCAAAGAAATACTCTTAATTCCTTCAATATGGAAAGTTTTTTCCCCAAGAAGAAACCAAATGCTGCAGTTATTTTCTATCTCTGCTAACTCAATGCTCTCAAAGCACCTCTGGAAGATTATCTTGTCCTCAGAACCTCAAAGGCTAATGAGTAGTGTCACTTCCAGGCTGCCCCTGAGCATCCTGCGCCATGTGGGCAGCTCAGTTTTCAACCTGAGGCTTCAGGGAGGACCAAAAACACATCCCATGTGATCAGCAACCCCTTTAAACCAACAATAGCAGGGTTGCTCTGTGCCACTTAGAGTTGATGCTCTTTGGGGAAAAAAAAAAAACGTGGTGTCTCCCTAGCCAGTATGAAGATTTATTTACAAAGTGAAAAGAAGGATAATGTTATTTCAAAAAGAAGGAAAGAAAGAAAAAAAGAAAGTGAAGGGAAAGGGAAGAGAGGGGAGGGGGAAGGACAGCAAAGACAATCCCATGCCAATGTAAATCTCAATAACCGTGGCCTAACCAGAACTACAAGTTTATGAGGGTTGTAAGCCAAATTTCAACCAAAGTTAATTAGGAAATGGAAATAGCTATCAAGACAAAAGCAAATACTTTCAGTCCTTAGCATGATCTCTAATATGAGCCTCCTTCGTTCCCTTATTAACTTCTGTGCCTAATAGGCTAAAGAGAAACTGTGAGTAGAATTTCCCATACTGCCATGTGATTTGTTGAGTATCTACATATGCCTGCTTACTTCTTCCCATGAGAATTAACTTGCTCCCAAAGGCCATTCTGGCCTTGTGGATAGTTGATAAGTAAGATCTGGAACAAGGAAGTTTGTTTCATCCAATAAGTTCCAACTGTCAGTTCCTGGTCCAACATAACCAGTCTAAAGGTTCTTTGGGTATGCCCCAGGTTTCTCTGTACATATAACATACCTTAAGTATGTTATCTTTCTTTTAACCCCTTTCCTTACATGCATACTCTCTAGTTCCTCATCTTAGTTCAAGTATTATTTCCTTAGAGATTGTTCCTTACTTTTTCCACTTGGTTTTTTTTTATTGTAGAGAGTATATAAACCTTTCTTCATAGTATCTTCTACAACCTTTTGTTATAAATTCATTATTAGATTATTTGATTAGTGAATGTTTCCTATTATCTCAAAAGTCTCAAACGTGTCCACCTTTCTTCAGTTCTACCTTTGGAATTTTGATCCAGCTTACCATCTCCTTTTCCTCCATTACTATAATTCCCCTCCTTTCCCCCTCCCTGAGGTTCATGAAGAAAGGGAACATTGCTAGTTCTTTCCCTATCTTTCCCTCCATGCCTTCCCATTTCCTTCCTTTATCCTCTCTCTCCTTCTCTTCCTCTATTCTTCAGCTATTTTCCCTTCCTCTTTCCCCATAATATCCTAATATTAGGATATTTTTCAAGGTAAATAGCTACTTTTAGGAGCTGTATTTCTCCGTTGATTAGTCTTATAAGAAACTCCTCTTTCAATACATTATTCCTCAAACCCTGTTTAATACTAACTTCTAGCTCTAATGTGTATAATTTCCATCTTCATTTTCTTTGACCTCTCAGCAACTCTGAACTCTGTGCATACATTTTTTCCCAGGCTTCCTTCTTCTTCTTTAGCTCCAATGTCTGACTGTAGCTTTCTATTTGGGGCAGCCTTTTGCCTATGTTAGGATATTTAATGATGGAATTTGGAGGGGGGTGTCAGTCAGGGCCTAGACCCTGCCCCTGAGCTCTTTCTGCTCAAAGCTAGAGCTCTACTACATTGAGCCACAGCTCCACTTATGGTTTTTGAGTGGTTAATTGGAGATTAAAAATCTCAGGGACTTTTCTGCTCTGGCTGGCTTCCAACCATCTTCAACTCTAATGCTCCTGAGTAGCTGGGAATACAGGTATGAACTACTGTGGAATTCTTTAGATCAGATCTAGCTTGCACTCTCTGGGTGGGAAATCTTGCCTATATCCAAAGCTTCAATCCTCACCGATTTAATGAATTTAAATCTTTAGCACAGACTTCTACAGCAAGCTATAACACGAATCCTCAGGTTCCTCTATGGCTGTCTGGTTTAGGTGGCTTGCGAATAACATCCGTATACTGTCAACATGTATGAGGAAGAACTCGATGCATCATCTTTTCCTTCCTAAATACAAGCAAGTTCTAATATTTTCTAAGACAAGGCACAAGTGGTTCTTCTCTTGTGCCAATCAAAAACCTAACAATTATATAACTTACTTCAGTATCTAATATCCTGACTTTTAACCTGTATGTCTCAAGTATCTCCACCTCTATCTACACTTCCCTTTAACACCTTGGTCCAGATTACCATTCTCTTCTCCTATGAATTGATATAATAACCCACAGAGCAGTATTCTTCTCTAAATCTATTCTCCACACACTACTCAGCCTTCATTTCTTTTTCAAAATCCAGACCTGATTTTCTCACACTACCCTCTGTTTAATACCCATTTTCCACTACGTGGAAAGTGAAAGAAGAAAGCCTTTCCAGCACAACCTATTGTGTGTCTTTTTTCCAGGTTGAATTTTGCTATTTGTTTTATTTTTCTGCACTTCAACCCCACTGGGTGTCTCTCAGTTCCAGGAAAGGCATCTACTGCCTCCCTTCTGAGCAATTTCATACCTGATGTTCTGTTTCAAACAGCATCTGCCTTTCTCCCATTTTACCATTTCTGACCTTTCTAGCTGCATCAATTTTCTTGATTATATGCTCTCTCTTTAATAGCACTGATAATGGCAGCAATTCTATATGTATTACTGTGTTTATTTGATCAATGTCTGTCTGCCTTCACCAAATATAGGTCAGAGTTTGCTCAATCCACTATCCCCAGAACCTAAGCAGTATGCTGGGAAACATCATAAATATGTTCAATAAGTATTTGAAAAACAAATGAATAAAAGTTCCCTAATTTCACTTTCTTTAGCTCTCTGAGATTAACAGAAATTTTTAGTTTGAAAAATGACAGCAAGGACATTTCAGATGGAATATTTCATAGCAACGTATTTGGAGAAAGTAAAATGAATGATCTAACTCTGTTTTGCCACTGCCTTTTCACTTGAATCCAGGCTTGTCAGTGGGAATACAGCTATGTATTGTTCCTTGTCTCTGCTCTGATTTGTTTCAGATATTCTGAAAAAATTGAAGGGCCACTGTCAGCCTGGACAAAAACAACTGGGATCTGAATGTACCTGTATGTCTCCAGAAGACTGTAGGTATGAGATACTGTTTGCACATTGGGAAAATCCAGTCTGGTGTAACTAGCTTGATGGAAAAGCTCACCTTCTTGAAGCACAAATATGAAATATATAAATCTTCACATAACCTTGTGCCTTGCTGAATTTCACCGTCTTTGAGGAGTAGCTAGCTTTTTAAATTGTCTCTCAGCCTTCCCTAAGCTTGCATGGCTTTTGTTTATTTAAACAGTGTCATTTTGCTTTACAGAACTTGAAATTTTTCAAGCTCAACTATATCAAAACCTTCCTTTCCATTACTAAATATAAAGCAAAATTATAACTCCAGTAACATGGTAAAGGAAATCCTGTGAATCTCCATCTCTCTCTCTCTCTCTCTCTCTCTCTCACACACACACACACACACACACACACACACACACACACACACACACACACACACACACACACCATCATCCTCATCCTCATCATCATTACCTGGCTCATGCTTTCATACTAAAGAAGAAAGCCTAGAGAAGAAAAATAGCATGTTCTCTTGTGACTTCCATGAATGGGTAGCTTTATTGAAATAACTGCCTTTTTGTTACTGAACAAAACCAAGTATTAAAATTGCTCATTTATTGAAGAATGAGTTTCAGCTGAATTTAAGGTAAATTCAAAGTAGTACTGAGCCTTAACATTATTTCATGCTCTAAGACTGCTCTGCGAGAGAAGGAAGGAAGAGTGCATTCTTTCTTTTTCAGTCTTCATAGAAGACACAGCACTTGCTCCATCTTGTTAACTGTCTCTTACTCCCTCACTGCAAGGCTGAGGATGCAGTTCCCTGACGAGAGACAAAGCCATTCTGAAAACTGGAGTTTGTTTACTGAGGAGAGAAAGCATGGATGTTCAGAAAGAAGCTAATAGCAACAACTGTGAATATTTCATTTGTTTCCACTGACTGGCTTGTGCTCTGACAGACTAAGAAATGTTTGTAGAGAATCAATTTATATCTTTTTTGAGAGCATGACAAGATCTTTTTCTGTATAATCCCACCCACCTAGTTCAGCCCAAAGGAAGCTCTGTTCTGTCTGCCTTTCTCAGGATTCATTTCGAATGGTCCCTCAAGTCGCTTCTTGGTGCTGGAATCTCCCCAACTGCAGATGTCCTTCTTGGGATCACTTACATTGTTTCTATTGTTCTAGCAGAGGAGCCTTCTGTCTTTATCTGCAAAATAAGAAATCTTGAGAACACAAACTTCCCTTGGCTATTAGACTGCCTCTACTAAAACTCTTCATTCTCTTCCACATTTCTTTTGTATATCATTGACATTAATGGGAGTAATGGTCACACAGCTCAAAGATACTGAACATGGAAAGCAGGCATTTTTTCCCCTTGGTATTAGCTCTGCTTTCTGAAAACAATCATAAACCCAGACACACTGAACTGTTTAAAAGTTACTTTTGCAGTACTGGAGTTCGAACTCAGGATTTCACACCTGTTTGGCACTCTTCCGTTTGAACCACACATCCAGCCTTTTTACTGTGATTTATTTTTTAAGTAGGTTTTCATCTTTGGCTTGAACCAGTCTGGACTAAAATCCTCCTATTCATGCTTCTTCTGCAACTAGGGTGACAGATTGAGACCCCTGTGGCCTGGTGTTTCTGTTGAGCTGAGGTTTTTGAGAACTTTTTGCTTGAGCTGGCCTGGAATCATCAATCTTTGAAATCTCGGCCCCTTAAATCCCTGGATGGCAGGGCATGCCACTGCTTCCAAGTATTGTTGGAACCAGGGTCTTGGGAACTTTGTGCCTCAGCTGGCCATGATGCTCTGCAGGCACCTAGGACTATCGATGCGAGCTACCAGTGTCAGACCCTCAGGGCATATGTTCTTAATCACAGTACAAATACTTCTGAACAGTATATAATATATAGCTCATATGATATGTTCTAAATTGGTGTTGATGGACAAGTATTTTAGAGCTAGAGGCTAAATTGACCCAGGGAAGCTTCAAACTGTAGCCAGGAGTTGAGCTGACCACTGGTATACAGAGAAGACTGTGTAATGTTGATTGAGCAGAACTTGGATGGCTAGAGGGAAAAACAATATCATTAGCTTAGATATGGATCAATACAGTCAGATACTGTTGACTCACACCTGTAATCCTAGCTACTCAGGAGGCTGAGACCTGAGGATAATGGTTCAAAGCCAGCCTGTGCAGAAAGTCTGTGAGACTCCTACCTCCAACTAATCACCAGAAAACCAGAAGTGCCACTGTGGCACAAAGTGGTAGAACTCTAGGCTTGAGCAAAAGGAATTCAGGGACAGTACCCGGGCCCTGAGTTCAAGCCTTACAACCTAAAAAAAAATAAAATAAAACAAATTGATCAATAAACAGTTGGGCACATGGCTCAACTGGTAGAGCTCTTGCCTAGCAATTAAAGGCCTAAGTTCAAACACCACTACTAAAAAAAAGGAGAAGAAAAAAACTTTCAATCAATATAAATGTCAGAAGATAAAAAGGAATTTAAGAAGATAGGAAAATAATACTAGAAAGGGAAGTTAATGGGAATCTCATCCTGGCTATTCAGTTTTTCAGGTTTAAATTTGAAATCACTTGAGAATCCTGCCAACATAGATTGTAATTTAGAATGACTAATCTTAGGGAGCACATGAAATGAAACTAGTCACTGAAAGGAGAGAAACAGGATAAAAAAATTAAAACGGGAGGGGCTGGGAAGGTGGCTCCGTGGTAGAGCGCTTGCCTTGCATGCCTGAGGCCCTGGGTTCAATTCCTCAGCACCACGTAAGCAAAAAGAAAAAAAGCCGGAAGTTGCACTGTGGCTGAAGTGGTAGAGCACTAGTCTTGAGCTGAAGAGCTGAGGGACAGTGTCCAGGCCCAGAGTTCAGGCCCCACGACCAGACTGAGTGGCGAGTTGACACACCAAGTGGACTACTTGCCGTCTGACTTCCTGGTTCTCATGTGTAATTTCTTGCTTTCCTTTCTTGGGCAGCCATTATTCAGAAGATCTCTGTGTATTTGATTTGGGCTCCAACCATTATTTTACTTCACCTTCTTGCACTTTTTTGGCCAAGAGATGTTTAAATAATGAGCAACTCCATTTTCTACATATTGGTTCTTGCCAAGATGGTCCACAGTTAGAATGGGGTCTTGAAAGGATGAAGCTTGCATTCAACAGCACAAAGAAAGAATTGTGTGGCTTCGATACATGCTACGACTGGGAAAAATGTTCAGGTAAGCGACACTGGTGACACTGGTGCTCTTATTTGAAATTCAGTTCAGCTGGATTATATGGTGAATTTTTGTATTTATACATCATCATGTTTTTGTGTGTGCTAGTACTGGAGCTTAAACTCAGGGCCAGGGTGTTGTCTCTGAGCTCTTTGGTTCAAGGTTAGTGCTCTACCACTTGAGATTACTCCACTTCCAGTGTTTTCAGTGGTCAATTGGAGATTAGAGTCTTACAGATTTTTCCTGCCCAGCCTGGCTTCAAACCATCATCCTCAGACCTCATTTTCCTGAGTAGCTAGGATTACAAGCCTGAGCCAATGGCACCTACCTTATGCATGCTCACGCAATGGTTGAACACAGTTGTGGCTTCCCCAACCGAAGAGTAGGCACAGGTGTCCAGGCTCAGTGTCATGAGCCTTTCATCCACAGTGACACTGGGAGCACAAGTAGAAGGATCCCAACCATAAAACAAAAGAAGAAGAAGAAGAAGAAGAAGAAGATTCCTATCCATTGTAAATTGTGTAATTAATTCAAACAAGGAAAGCTATAATAAATACCCACAACTAGAAATCACTGCTGTAATCCTCTGGGTGTGCACCTTTCCAGCCTTTCCATATGTACATGCCATCACATTGCTCTTAGGCCCTGCTCTGATGTGTCAGGCACCCATCCCACACATAACCTGCCCTGGTGGTGTGACCTCCTGGGCCCATCAGTGCTTCCCAGGCAGAGCTGGGTTTCACATGAATACCAATTGCCAGAGCATCTTTCTTCAATTACTTTAAGTCCTCTGCCATAGCCCAGAACCAGCCAGGACTAGCAGCATTATTCAAGCAGAAGGCTTGAGCATAAACCAGGTCCCACATGCACAGCCATTATTTCTTCCCTCTCCAACCCTCTACTTCTTCTCGTCTCCACCCTTAGTGAACTCATCAAACAGATGCTCCAAAAAGCTCCATGGCCATCCTACAGTGGTGGTTCTGGCCCAGAGATAGATTCTTATTCCCAAGTGTAACCCAGTGAGTGGATGTTCCCACAGGTTGTATGGACAACCACCCCCACAAAAATATCTCTGGAGCCTCACATGTTTCAGTGGTACCACTGAATATAATAGAAAATAAAACAGGATCATGTTCTATGTAATATTTTACAAATTGACAGGCATCATTTAAGGTGACATAAAATTATTTCCAATATATGATTTAGTTGAGATGTAGTTGTGTGTTAAGTCCATAGAATTTCCCTTGTGTGTTGCTATAATAAACGATGATTCGATGGATGAGTCTATCATGTAAATCTATCATCTAAGATTATTTCTCTAGGATATACCCTAGAAATTCCATTTACTAGGGTATATCCTAGGGAATTACTTAAGTCAAAGTTTTTACTGACATACTGTGTCAACCTGCTTTGCAGAAATGCTTTTATAGTATTATCCTCTAATCTATAATATATGAGAGACACTTTCCTCTCACTAAGCATTGGAGTTGTCATTTGAAATAGCTATCAATTTAACACTTTAAAAGTGGCATTAAATTTTCCTTTTTCATAAGAGTATTTCTGCATTGGTGAGTTGCTTGAAAGCATGAACTTCACCAAAGTATCTTTGCTCTAGGATGGAGTCTGACCCTGACATAGCCAAAGTAAGCTTCATATAAAACAAAAGGATAGTATTTAACAGAATTCAAGTAAGCAGCTAAATTTCCCTTGCAACACATTTCTAAAAATGAATCTTATATGTAGACATGAAGTATGTATGGAAACTTGTGGGATTTTTTTTTCATCTAACTTCTGCTGAAATGACCTCATGTCTACAAAAAGAAAGACAGGAATCTTACTGTTCACCTTTGATCCTCCTTCAGTTTCTGGCCAATATTCTTCAGTCTGGTCCTGAGAAGAAGAAAGCCTTTGCTAATCTCAAATCCTTCCTGATCCACTTAAACAATTATCAAGACTCAGCTTCTTTGGCAGGCCACACTACTGAACCATGACAGCAGGTAGACAATGAGCCCAATGAGCAGCAAATCAGGAGGTGAATGCCAGGGGCTCTGAACCTCATGCCACACCCAAACAAGATGATTCCACGGCAGAGATAGCAAGCTATGGTCAGATATGTATGATACTCTAATCATTATGAAAACATCTTATTGATTAAAAACTCTACTGTCCGTTTTTATATTTTTTGGGGGGTCCGCTCGTGGGGCCTGAACTCTGGGCCTGGGCGCTGTCCCTCAGCTCTTCAGCTCAAGCAGTGCCACAGCCAGAGCGCCACTTCCGGCTTTTTTCTTTTTGCTTATGTGGTGCTGAGGAACCCAGAGCCTCATGCATGCAAGGCAAGTGCTCTACCACTGAGCCACCTTCCCAGCCCCTACTGTCCGTTTTTAGATGCTTGGCCAATATCATTACTCAACTGCCATCTCGCTCAGTAATAATATGTGTTAGGAAAGAGATGCAAGTGTTACACAGCATCCTTTGAATATCAATCAATCAATCTATCTATCTATCTATCTATCTATCTATCTATCTATCTATCTTATGCCCATAATGGGGCTTGAATTCAGGGCCTGGGCACTATGCCTTAGTTTTTTGCTCAAGGTTACCACTCTTCCTCTTGAGTCACAACCCACTTCCAATATTTTGCTGGTTGATTGGAGATGAGTCTCATGGACTTTCTTGCTCAGGCTTGCTTCAAAGTACAATGCTTAGATCTTAACTTCTTGAGTAGCTGAGACTTCAGGCATGCACCACCAGTAGCCAGCTTCTATTTTGTATTTACACATAATCATTTTTTGTGAGATATGTAGTGTAAGAACACATGCAAAAAATAAGTTCAAGCCAGGCACCAATGGTTCATGCCTATAATCCTAGCTACTCAGGAGGCTAAGGTCTGATTGTGGTTTGAAGCCAGACCAGGCAGGAAAGTACATGACACACTTATCTCTAATTAATTACCAAAAATCTGGTAGTAGAGCTGTAGCTTACGTGGTAGAGCGCTAACCTTGAGCAAAAAAAGCTCAGGAACAGCACACAGGCCCTGAATTCAATCCCCAAGACTAGCAATCCTCCCCACCTCCCCAAAAAAATTTAAGTTCAGATATACAAAATTCTATACAGAAAAATAAAAGAAATTTAGAAAGTGTGGAGGTTGGGTTCTTTTGTTTATTTTTGGGGGGGGGTCCAGTTTTGGGGGCTGAATTCTGAGCCTGGGCACCGTCCCTCAGCTCTTCAGCTCAAGGCTAGAGCTCTACCACTTGAGCCACAGCACCACTTCCGGCTTTTTTCTTTTCTTTTTTTTTTTGCTTATGTGGTGCTGAGGAATTGAACCCAGGTCCTCATGCATGCAAGACAAGCCCTCTACCACTGAGCCACCTTCCCAGCTCCCTTTTGTTTATTTTTTTAAAGGGACTTTCAGTGTATTATTATAGGTCAGGAATGTGTTTAGGTTAGTTTCTATTCTTCCATAAAATTCTTTGTGGAAAAAGAGAAATTATTAATGAGAAGTCCTAGGGTTTGGGATAGTTTTCTACAAAGTATTCTTTTTTAATCTGTTTCACTGAAAAGTAATTGTTAATATATCAATTTGTCACATTGTCTGCTTTCCTATCACCTCTATGCTGCTCATCTATTTGAGTGCCCATGGATTCTCAGAATAAAAGTGTCTAAAAAGATATTAAAAGTTTATACACTTGACTGATATTACTCAAATTAATAGAATGTTTTAGGATAATCAAACTGACATATATGCATTTCTTATATTGATTTGGTCCTTCTCATAATCAGAAAATTCAAAGTATTTTCCCCATAAAGGTGTGGCTTGCCTCTGTCAGCCTTCTTTTAACATCTGAGCAAAAGACAGGAAAACACTTTCTAGAGGAGCATTATAGAACAATATCAGTGTACAGACTAATGCATTTATGAAGAAAGAAAGCCAACCAACTCAAGCAAGTTGTGATAGTAGTTATTTCAAGTTGAATTGAATGCCACCTTGATTGATCTGTGTTTTCATATTACAGTGTGCTCTTTGCTATTTTGTTCCTTCCTGGTCTAAAATGCAATAAGAAGTTTAAAGTGAAACTTGAAAGTAACATGAAATTTACTTTTTGAAAGTTAGAAGATGGATGGTTGCCTCAGGGAGTCTCTTATTATGACTTATCAAATGTTCTATCTGAATTTTAAATTATCTACCACCAACCAACAGGAAGGAGAATTTCATTGAACAAACATCCATTTATCGATTTAAGCATCTGACATGTGAAGTCACTGGCAGATTGTCCCAAGGCAGGATGAGAGGCTGAAGACAAACTGTTCTCAGTCATTGGAGAAGTTCCATTAAACAATGATCGCATGAATCACCTTAATGCCATGCAGCATGAGAGAAGCTATAGGGGGAAAGAAATACCTGCCAGTCTGGATTTAATAAGCACAAAAGTGTGAGAACTTAATATTGAAGGATAAGTAGTAGAAGTGAGAAGAGTTTTGGGTCTAGAAGTCTGAAAATAATCAAGCTCTAAGTCGTAATCATTCAAGAGAATGGTGCTTATGGCCTTTCCAAAAGCTGAGAGGATGGATATCTTTACCAGAGATAGGAAAGACTCTTGGCTTTTTCCAAATTTCAGCTCTTCCAATAATCAACAAGACTTTTCACAGCTATAATTTTCTCTATCTAGTTGGCAGAGAATATAGAAAGGGAATGGATGGGGATTGCAGACCTGGCTTCGGTGGTAGAGTGCCAGCCAATGAGCAAAAGCATCAGATACCCAGTTTGAGTACCAGTCTTGGCCAAAGAAATGTATACTTTGTCCTAAAATGTTTCTAACCAGGAACCAGATGTCTTGCATATGGGGTTGAAACATAGGAAAGAACTGACATTTGCTTAAGCTATTTACAATGGTATTATTGCTGATTCTCAGATGGATACCAATTTTCTGGCAACATTAATTATCCCAGATCCATCAAATACATTTATTCTTGTACACTTTCACCCAAAATTGCCCCAGTTAACTGTGAAGAGTTGAGTAGAGCATATGTATGGATGGGCCACAATTAATATTATCAAATATATTTCTTAGAGAAAAGACATAAGAAAACCTGACATGAAAATGTGCGAATGTTATATATGGTACTGCAAAGTGCATGGTAAAACAGTTTAATGAATGAATGCTTCGTGAGATGGGTAAAAACGGAACATATGAACACATTTTGAAAATGAGCATTTTTTGAGTCTTGCTTGAAAAATCAAAAGAGGTTAATCTTCTTGGAATAGAAAAAGTAAAAAAAAGATGTTAGCGGTCAAGCTGTGAAAGATCTTGAATTTTAGCTAAAATCTGCATATATATAATTGGGTCAGTATCTCTTTTATTAAAATTTTATGATTAAGTAGCTGCACAAAGAGTTTATTCCATATGTCAGGTTACAAGTACAAAGCATCTGGATTAATGCAACTCCTCATTGTTTTCCCCATATCTCCCTCTTGTCCCTAAAATTTGATTATCCTTAAGTAAGTGTTTTTAATATTCTCAACCTTATTTATTTTAAAGATATAAGATGTATATGAATGTTTAAGTATTTAGTTAGCTCAAAAACCAGACCATACAGAAAAATTGTCCAATTCAACTGCTTACTAAAAGGACAGATTGAAGATATAATCCAGTAATATTCTACAAACAAATAGAGAATTATGTTACTTCAGTTAGTGTAGAATTATGTTAAAGAGCTCAGGCTTTGGATGATTGGCTAGAAAGCCTGATTAGCTGTGGGTTCTTACTGAGTTAAGAGTGCACATTTCAGTCTTCCTTTCAAGTCTCTCCATCCAAATCTGTTGAGTCCTTTGGACCACTGACTATTCTAGTCACCCACGAGCTCACCATTCTCAGTAGGAATTAAGTAAAGTCACGCCCCTCAGTACTACCATTATTTATACTCTCTCTCCCTCTCTGTTTCTCATTGCAGCCTCCACTTCCCGATGCATCTGTTTGTTGCCTCCCCAGTGCATCAAGGGGGGAACCCAACTCTACTGTGTCAAAATAGGATCTTCAACACGCGAGAAAACAGTGAACATCTGTGAAGTGGGAACTGTAATGTGTGCAAACAGGAAGGTAGAAATACTACACTCTGGGAAGTGTTTGGTCTAACAACTACTGACAAATAGACTTACTATTCAAAAACAATCCATACAGAACCTTCTTAGACAAAGAACAAAATTATTAGAAGTTACCCTTCCTTACTGACAAATTCTTTTGTGTTAGTTTCATATCTTTATTCTCCCCACCATTTTCCTATGTTACCAGCCTCTATCGAGTTTCATATGACCCTATAAACCATCTCTGAGTTACGAGTTTTGCACTGTCTAGAAAATTCTCTTATTCATGCTGCATGAAGATAATGGAAATTCTGAGGACCTAATGAAATATGCTCAGAATTAAAAATATGAAGAAAACTGTAAATTTGTTTAATAAACCAACAAACACACAAAGCTATAAAAGCTATGGAACATTCTGAAAACCCAGACTTCATGTGTTCATTCAACAAATAATTAAGAATGGTGTCAAATACTAGTCATGGTCTTAGGAAATCAGTCATGACTAAACCCGGTAGAAGCCCTTGCTTCTCCAAAGTGCTCATTCCTCTGGGAGTAAACATACAAAAACTGCAATTATCATGTAACATATGTAGTATGTTTGATGTTGATCATTTGCTATAGAAGTAAAGCGTATATCTCATCTGATACAAGGAATTGTTTCAAAGCATGATTGGTATCAACTGGAAAGCTCCTTCTTTAAAATAGTTCAAAACAAACTTTGGAAGTTCTGTTCTCTGGGGAAGAAGAGAGATTCTCTTCTCTTCACATCAGTTGAAGTATATCACATAGCTTTTAAATTGAAGTATATGATGCATAGAAAATTGTCAGAGAAAAGAATAATTTGTAAAGTGAGTCCAATCTTTATTAATCCATACAAATTAGACATCTGTTTTTTAGAGTAACCAGAGGGGACCAGAAGTATCATTAGTGTACCAGTGTTATCACAATAGTGCAGTGGATGTGATAAAAGAGAGAGCTGATGATTCAGGAGGTCGGGAGTAGGGCCTGAAAAGACTATTTCTAACAACTTTCTACGTACCACAGTTGATGTCCATCGTGGAACACATTTTGAAAATGCCTTGTTTTAGAGAAGTGTCATCAGACAGCTGGACTTGATTTAGAAATTAAGCTCAAAAATTTATCCAGCCAACCTTCAAACGGGTGTGTGAAAGAAACTGTCCTTCCTTCTGCAACGCTCTCAGATTTCTGACCTTGTGAGAGGGAGTGATGGCCCACATCCACTTTGGACTTAGTGCAGGTCCTTCATCTCGTTTCTCATAAAATGTTGGCAAATCACCAATATCTTGTAGGACCAATGGCGTTTGAAGTAAAAGAATGAAGAAGGGAAACCCTAAAAATCAAATGTATGTTTCCTGGTAAAATAAAAACTGTGTGGGGCATCCCCTCCCCTCAGAATTCAGTAACCTGTACTTTCCCTAGATATGTCCCACCCCCTTTTCACTATGGGCGTAACATAGGCCATTCTTACAAGTTTCCTATTTCCAGCATTCCCAAAATAAGTTAGGGGAAAGAGCCATTAAATAGTCCCATATCCTAAAGAAGGCCAGTTACATCTAAGTCAAGGACTTTCTTCACAATGAATTGACTCTACCCAACACCCAACTCTCATCCCAATCCCACAGCTCTAAAACGGGATGGAAAGGAAGGGACCATGGGAATCTGTAGGCATGCTCACACAATGTTGACAATGAGGGTTCTGTTTCTTTTCATCTTCTGAGAGTAAATGAAGATGTTGAAAATATTCCTATGGTCAAAGTCCCATAAATGATTTGTGGGGTGCAGGGAGAACCTGGAATAAGGATATGCTTCCCTAGATGAATGGATGCTACACAATCTTAGAGCTACTACTGGAGAGGATGTTCCTGATGCGATCCTGGAGGCACAGATCCACACTGGAGCACTACTCCCTTCCAGGAACTGAGAACACTTCCTGCCTAATGCTGAAAGCAAGATGCCTTCAGAAGTGACCTCTACCACTCTTCTAGAGAGAAAGGAGAACAATGCAGCCTTTCTTAAAGGTGAGGGAAGGAATAGAAATAAAGGTAAGCCCATAAATCCACACAAAGGAACACGGAGAAGAGGAAAGGCTGACCACAAGTGAAGGAATGAGACAAGATAAAAGTCAGATATGAAATCCATGAATTAAGCTGAATCAACTTTTAAAAACAGAAACTGATCAAAAATCTATGTGATCTGTTCCAAACCTAATTAAAAGGAGAGAGAAGAAAATGGATTTGGCAGAACATACAAAAAGCTGAGACTGTTAGAACCAAGTGTTACATTTCTGTTGGCTTGGAACAATAGAAATCTATTGTTTTGTCTAGTTTAGGGAGACTAGAAATCTGAAATCAAGATGTCATTAGAACTACAGAAGCCTAAGGGACAATATTGTTACTTATCTCTCCCAGCTCCCAGATGTTTCTATTAATTCCATTGTCTTCTTGGGACACTAATCATGTTAGATTAGCACCACTCTAATAACCCTGTCTCATCTTGATTACATCTGCAAAGACCTTAATTTTAAATAAAGTGACATTTACAGTTATAGAAATTGCAACATACCTTTTGGATGGACACAATGCAAACCCTAACACAGTGATTGAAAATAAAACAGTGTTTCTTGTTATTCCAGCAATTGCATTATTTTGTTTGACTAAAATCAGTCATATTTGCTTAAAAGTATTTTATCCTTTTACTTGTACCAGTCTTCCTTTTTAACGGTGACTAATTGGCTTTTTTACCATTTCAGTTACCTTTGTTTCAAAGAATTTTTTAAGTGCACTAATCCATTAAAGTTTGCATTAGGCTGATTTGCATACCTTTTATGAGTTGAATTTTTCACACTCTGATATTAATATTAATATAGCAATTTAGTACAATAGGTGTTAGGAGCTAGTGGTAAAATTATCATCATGAAGCAGAGAGCAAAACTGGAAGATATTAAATACCTGGAATTCAGACCTAGAATCCCCAACTCTGTCCTAGAAGATTAACTACATTCTAGATCAAAAGTAAAATCTTTACCCTCTGAGATGATTAGAGATGAATGCTAAGCATCTATTCGTTTTTTTTTTTCTGGTCATGGGGCTTGAACTCTGGGCCTGAGCGCTGTCCCTCAGCTCTTCAGCTCAAGGCTAGTGCTCTACTACTTGAGCTACAACGCCACTTCGATTTTCTGGTGGTTTATTGGAGATAAGAGTCTCACAGACTTTCCTGCCCAGGCTGGATTTGAATTGAGATCCTCAGATCTCAGCCTCCTGAGTAGCTAGGATTACAGGCATGAGCCACCAGTGCCCGGCTTCAGCATCTATTCTTGTAGCTTAACTAATTGCAAATCAGTTCATATTTTGTTAAGTACACATTTTAATTCTGTTGGTTCTTCAATGTACTAACAAAATATGTGAATCCTTCAGTTGGAAGCACTATACAATGGCACATGTTATTTACTTTAGAAGTTCTAGAAGAAGAGATACAAAGCATGATTCTCAGATTATGATGATAAAATACCAGTGCTCAGCTGGGATAACATTGCAGCTTAACTGAAGATTTCCTTTTTGTAGGAATCATCAGTAAAGATCACTGCATTTTAGTTTATGTTAGATTTTTTTCCCGTCCTTCTACAAAGCCTTCGATTTCCAAATGGCTAAGGTTTGAAGGCTAAGCTCCTCCGTTGTTTCTAAAAGAGTACCCACAACCACATGTAATCCACATGGCTTCCTAAATTCTAATTCTGAATCAAAAGAATCTGATTGATCATAACATTTTGGTTGGTGTTGGGTGCCGAAATGTCCCCAAGCTTGATTAATTGGATTCCAAATGGCTGGTTTTCTGTAAGGTCACCTTCATTCATTTAGAATATACTGAGAGTGGAATCAATGAGGCATCCTGCTTCTAACCAAACAAATGATCTGCAAAATGCAAGTTGTATTCAGTCTGTTTTATGAATGTGAGACAGGCCACTGCTACCCTATTTATCTTCTTGACAAATTCTGGCTGCACAGCTTCAGTTCCACATGTCCAGTGTCAGTTAGGGGAGATACATGTCACCAATCAAGGAACTCTGGGGAACAGATGGTACATTGAAAGTCATACTCACAAAGAGTTATATAGAAAGATGTTTATCACAATATGATTTATAATAACAATGACAGACCTTAAATATCCAAAAATAAATTATGGCCCCCTCCACCCCAGATAATGGGAATGTATGAGGTCATTGACCACATTTTAAAGAAGAGTTTAGGGCACCTAATAAAGCTTAAAATGCAGACTACAAAACTATACATAGTGAGGCTGGGAAGGTGGCTCAGTGATAGAATGTTGCCTTGCATGCATGAGGCCCTGGGTTCAATTCCTTAGCACCACATAAGCAGAAAAAAATGGAAGTGGCACTGTGGCTCAAGTGATAGAGCACTAACCTTGAGCTGAAGAGCTGAGGGACAGCTCCCAGGCCCAGAGTTCAGGCCCCATGACTAACACCTTGGCAGAAATGGACCTTTTCCTAGCCAATATCAACATGCCGAAACTAAACCAAGATGAGTTAAGCCATCTTAACAGGCCCATATCAAGCATTGAAATAGAAACACCAATAAGAGACCTCCCATCTAAGAAAAGCCCAGGACCAGATGGATTTACAGTGGAATTCTACAAGGCCTTCAAAGCAGAGCTCACACCCATACTCCTCCAACTCTTCAATGAAATTGAAAGAGAAAGTTCACTACCGAACACATTCTATGAAGCCATCATAACCCTCATCCCCAAATCAGGCAGGGATTCATCAAAGAAAGAGAACTATAGACCCATTTCTTTGGTGAACATTGATGCAAAACTTCTCAACAAAATTTTGGCCAACAGACTTCAACAATTCATCCAAAAAATCATACACCATGATCAAACAGGATTCATTTCAAGGATGCAAAGCTGGTTCAATACACAAATCAATTAACATAATTAATCACATCAACAAGAACAAGGATAAGAACCACATCTCAATAGATGCAGAAAAAGCATTCGACAAGATCCAACACTCCT